TTTATCCAGATCAGAAGCCCCCCAGCTTGGTGCTTATGCCGAAGGTATGAGTAGCGAGATGTATAAGTCTGCGACATGATTTTCCTGTGTGGTGACTAAGCAACCTCATTTTACTTGCGCCTTTATTGTGCACTATGGTCTGTACCCTGTTGGTGCTTTTAACGGTGACATCTTGTATTCTCTTGGGTTTGATGCCGCTGAAGTTTGTTTTTAGGTGAAACAGTTATGGAACTTTGATGCCGCATTTTTGATGTCACTTTGATGTTCTCAGAAGTTTTAACCAGTTAAGGTTTTACCTTCCTTATTCTGCACCGCGCTTCATGGAAGTTTTAACCAGTTAAGGTTTTACCTTCCTCAATCTTCATGAAAGTTTTAACCAGTTAAGGCTTTACCTTCCTCATGCTTGAAGAAAGTTTTAACCAGTTAAGGCTTTATCTTCCTTTTTCTTCATCGCGCTTGAAGGAAGTTTTAACCAGTTAAGATTTTATGTTCCTTAGTCTTCATGGAAGTTTTAACCAGTTAAGACTTTACCTTCCTTAATCTTCATGGAAGTTTTAACCAGTTAAGACTTTACCTTCCTTCATCTTCATGGAAGTTTTAACCAGTTAAGGCTTTACCTTCCTTCATCTTCATGGAAGTTCTGTCCAATTAAGGCTTTACCTTCCTTTTTCTTCATGAAAGTCTTAGCCAGTTAAGGTTTTACCTTCATTTTTCTTCATACTTGAGTTTTTAACCCTTAGGCTTTATCCTCAAGTTAAGACTTGAGCTTTAAACCTTTATCGGGCTTTACCCTCAAGCGTCTTCAAACCTAAGCTTAAGAGCTTTAGACTTTGTCAGCATATTGTAGACGAGGCTCATATCTTTCTTATTCGGTAAAACCTGTAATTTTTACAAATCTCACAGAATAATGTCATATCATTAAGATGATAAGTTCAATGAGATTAGTTCAAAGCAGTTCAAAATAATAATGTTGCTGATATCATTTATCTGTGTTTCACGCGAGATTTTTGTCTTCGCCTCTTATCAGTCATGATTTCCTGCAATCTTTCATGTAAAAGCAGAGAAATTCAAGATAATTTTAAGATAAAGCATATTTAATAACTTCTAAACATTATTCATGGTTCCCTGCAGCGAGATTCATGTCTTTGCTTTTTTGGTTTGGATCCTGTAGGCGAGATTTACATCTTTGCCATTCATTATTCGTGGGTCCCTGCATCTTTCACGAATTTCACAATAGAGACACAAGTTTTTCAAAATAAGTCATAAATATCAAGATTGTTTCACATAGTCACCCTACAAGTTATGTAGTCTTGCAAAAAGTACGATCACAATAGTGATTTAGGCATTCATAATACCTTATGTCAATATGCTATCTTGTTGCTTGTAAAAATCACAGAACGATTCAATATGTGATAGCCTGCCAGGCCTTATTTTATGTTTGCCTTAATTCACCCCTTGTAACAGGACTAAGATGATACATAAAGATGATTCGTAAGCCTAGGATGTGCTCGGACTAGACTTTGTCAATATCATATACATCCATATGCATCTGCTTAATGCTTTTATGGTAAGCCTCCTTTTCGCGCGATATTCACTGATATTCTTGTATTTCCAAAATTTGAAAATCAACCATACAGAGATTTTAAAATCAATGTCAATCTCTTAAAAATTCATATAAGGAAGCTTATAAGCATTCACCTTGTCAATCCAACTTTGAAGTTGTTCCTTAATGGGATAGCTAATTTCTACAGCTTTTATAACACCCCTTTGAAATTGTTCATATCATGTTTTACTAATGATCAAATTTCACCCTGTGATGTACTTTGGTTCTTCCTTCTAGGGTACTTTCAGCAATAATCACTTATTTCATCACAACTTTTGTCAACCTTGCTGACATGAATCTCACCATAGAAGAATTATTCCGTCATCTAAAGGCTTCCTTAGAATCAATATAATTAATTTATTTCTCTCTAAGTAAGCTATGTAGTTGGTCACGTTGCCTTAGAGAACTACAAATCTGAGATAGAAAAATGCATCGCGCATTCTAAATTCAATAGCCAAAATCACATCATGCGATTAAGGATCCAGGCTTAACTCTTTGTGCAATTTATCATCGTTTCTACCAAATTTAATATGCTCCTCAAGCACAAATTACATTGCGCAAATTCACCTTGCCATCTCGGATATATTAAAGCATTGCGCATGTATGGTACTGTTAATTTGTCTGGCTCTTACTTCTTCCTAATGGCTAAAGGACACAAAGATGACTTCGTCTTCTATTGTTCCGCAAAAGCCAAATATCTGTTAAGGGATGATATTCATCGCTCCTTGAATCCCTATTATTCGTTGCATATACTAAAAACGAGATCATCTAACAAGGATTTACTTTCCTGGACGATATATATTTGTTGTTTTTAATTCCCTCTAATTAATTGTAGCCTTTTCCCTAAGATACACTGCAAGACTATTTAGGAAAAGGAACTGTGGCTATGAACTTAACTAAGGAACGTTTCAAGAAGACATTGCATGAACGTTCAAGAAGACCATTTGAGCTTAACCTTATGGCCACAGAGTAGTAGCTATGTTCCTTTCTCTTGAAGCATGAGTAATATAAGCATTTCACATACCAGAGAGCATGTCGTTGATATAAGTTACCATGGGAGATTTATATGCCAACCTTTGAACATGAATCTTCACTTCTATACCTTGGGGATAATAGTAAGAAATATCATAAAACCTATTTGTATTCATGCTCTTGGTGCAATCCTAAAACTGATCAGAGGAATGGTTTCGATGAAGAGTTTGGACATGTTTAATCTTGGCATACGCATATCGCGCATTTTGGCACATGTAAAGTCATATATAAAACTTTGAGGAAGACGTTGGTTTAGCCTATCGTGCATAAAGTCATATATATAGAACCTTAAATGGTTTCATCTCTAAACCGTCAACGAGACGGCTAATGAAGAAGGGTCAGTTTTGTCTTATCCTAACCATGAAGCTGGTAGAATAATTTGTTGTAGTTAGATATCTAAGCTTGCAAAAACTCTTCATTTGTATGAGCTTCTACCTATATTTTGTATAGCATCATGCCAAAAGCGCCATCTTGGCTGATAATAGAACGATATGTGGTTTTTGCGCATATGGAGTATTGGTATTATTCTCTTAACTGGTTACGCTATCATTGAATGTAGAATAGAATTAAATACAGTATTGGTAGCATCGCGCCATATGTGGCTCTTGCGCATATGTGGTTCAACACCTGGTATCGGTAGCATCACGCCATATATGGTTCATCGCGCCATAATTCGATAAGAATGATAATTGGTTTTTGCGCATATGTGGTTCTTGCCAAAAGCGCCACGTTAACTATGCTGGTTCATCGCGATGAGGATCTTTATTTTGTCACAATGATTGCGGCTTTCAACTCCATACCGAGCAAGGTACCTTATCCAACATGTCTCAGCCAATCCATTGCAGGTATAACCCAATCATTTTGGAAATATCTCAACCAGTGCGGCTTCCTCTTAACTGGCGAATATAATTCCGGTTTTACTATGATTCCTCTCAACCAAGAAGACTTCATACTTTGTGTAAGATGTTCGGAATAAGAAGACAACCATAACCATAAGTTTTATGTATATATATCCAAAGCATCGGCGCCGTCACTGTGTCGCTTTATATATACGATAATTTCGCAAGTTTATATATATTGCGCATATTCATTGCGCATATGATCTAGATATCATGATTATAAGATTTACAAGCCGTAAGTTTTGCTAGCGAGATGGATTCATATATATCTTGAGTATGGCTTATAACACAGTTGCAAATTTGGAAAGGTTATAATATGTTGAAGATAAGAACTAAACAACATGTGACGTATGAAGTCTTCTTGGTAAATAAATAAATCCACGGGATTTAAGTTAGAAATTCAAGTCAAACCTTGCGCGATGAGTTTTGAAGCTATACGAGACAGTCATAATATATTTGTAACAACATTAACGTATGATAAGCAAAAATAAAATCTCAAGGCAAATTGTGTGTACCTTTTCGGGGATGGGAATTAAAATTTACCTCTCCTCACAGACGGCGTCAATGATCAGAATCGATTTTACAATTGGACCGATCATGTGATCTCCCTCTACACAAATGGCCTGGAACCGCCTTGGGACAGAGCATCTTACAGTTGGAGCAGTTTTAACCCATTGGTCTTCAATGGAACAAGCAGGTTTTAATTATGTAGAAGATGTGTACCTTGAGTTAACACATATGTATTTATAGTGGAGAGATGACCAACTTGGGAGATGCCTTTCTTCACAGTGAAGGCAGAGATTCCTCCTTATTGGTTCTTGTAGGAGGCTTGGAAATAATGTTTGCAGAAGTATGTAGAAGGTGTAGCTTGCTGTCATATGGCTTTTAATATTGAGGAGCTTTGCTGAGATAGGCTTTCTTGGTAGAGTGGTGGCAAGCTGGTGTTGTATTATCTTTATTTGTTCAATGGCGCGGTGAATCTTTATTAGTTCATGCGATTGCTTCCTTATTTTTGAAGTTATGCTGAAGGGCGGTTTGATGACATCGCGCCCTCTAATGCGTGATTGATGACATCGCGCCTCATTCTGGGCCTGGTGGGCCTGGGTCTTGTTCTATGAATTTTGGCTTTTGATGAGTTTATCATATTTTATCAAGATCAAGAATCAAACCAAATAATTCGATGTCTACAAAAATAAAATGATCCCATTTCTTATTTTTTTTTTAACTTGTTATGATGATAAAAATGCTTAAATAATATTTCACAAAAATAATTAAATAATGAATTAAATTCATTAAAAAATTCTCTATATTTATTTTTATCTCTTATTCTTTCTTTTATTCGTTTTCACTTTTATAAATTTTATTATTTTTTGAAATTTTAAATTGAACCTAAAAATAATGGTTTTAGTCTTCTTCCTTGCAATTTTTTCTATTTGCATATCTGGATCATTATCTTATAAAATTTGTATTATAGAGAATCTTGGATAAAAGCCCCTTCCCACCAGGAAACAGAACATGAACATATTTGCAGTGATTGTATCTGTATCTGTATCTGTGTTGAGTTAGTTTGTGTAATTCTATTCTATCTCTGCTATTGACCCTTTATGACAAATCCCGCTTTTGAAGGAACATATAGCAACCAGCAATATCATAACCTTCCTTAATTTTCTCAAATCTAATTGAACAGAAAGCACAAAGTTAACACCTTTACGCTCAGCCAAGCAAAAGGGTTTAACTCGTTGAATTGAGTTAAGCCCAATTCTCAGTGGGGATGAAGCTTCTTGCTCTAACCTCTGCTTCTTTCTTGCCACTTCCCCTTTATGGTTCATCCATTGTTGATGTAACAAGAGTTCCTTTATTTCCATCTTCTTCATACAAACGCACATCCAGCGCAGGTTAGTTTTCTCCGCCACATATTTCATAACATGGCCACTCACACACACACACACACACTCAAATTGATTATTATTTCCTTTCTTGTGTTGTGGGTTTTGCTTACAGTTTTAAGGAGATGTGTTAACAAGGAAAAGGAAGAGGTTCTTCTAGAAGGGATGCCAAAGGAGTACTATGATGATGTATGTATGCACCTTTCTCTGTCTATCTCATTATATTTGCTTTCAACCTATTGCTTAATCATGATTGTTTATATTTCATTATCTAAGAACTTGAACTCAAGGTCCTTCTGGTGATTTTTTTTTTTTTTTGAATACTCTTCTTGAGAGGGGTTTCACTATATAAACTAAAAGTATTTAACCCTTATTACTTTGTGAATGTAAAATCATCCTCTTTAATTGCCTTGACCCTACGTATTCCATTTTTTGTTTTCAGCTTTGAATTTCCTTGGTTAGGTTTTTGAAGTACAGTCAATTGGGGCTGTGCTTCTATTAGCAACATTGGCAGGGTATGTTTAGGGCAATTATGTTATCATATCTTAAATGCCTGACATGATTCTGATTTTTAAGTTTGTTTTATGTTTCATAGCTATTATATCAAAATGTACAGTGGATGAGTGGACAGTTTTCCCCTTGGTCGATGAATATGGACTATAAAAACATTGTAGCATGAGTATGTCTCTTGGCTTGCATGTGTGCTATCTTGTTAAACCAAAATTGTTGTAGGATTTTATTTGGAGAGATTTCATTAACCTTCTCTAGGATAGGAATGGCAAGCCCGACAACGTGAAAAGACCAAGGAGTGGCATAAAAAACGCAAAGAAGAAGACGAGGAAGAAGAGAGAAAGATTGAAGAGTATCGTGAAATTGGCATGCGGCTGAAAGGATATCCAGAAGAAGATGTTATAAAAGCACGGAAATTGGTTTCAAGCTTTATAAGAGCTGCTGAAGAAGTGGAAGAGGTAATTTCCTGGTGCAGCAATATCCTAATGTCATGCAGATAAATATTTCATCATTATCAGGTGTTTATTTTCATTTTATAAATTTACACCTGATTGCATTTTAATTCATCATGAAAATGATCTTGCTTGTTGTACGGTGGATAAATACAGGGCTCACCTTGATAAAATGTTGGGTAACCAATCTGAAGTTTGGAGTGTTTTTTCTTGGCCATATAAGGGTCATCTTTCTCTTCTGGTGTGCATCAAGAACCTGATTTTAGTGCAATGGACTTCCTTGGTCACTCTAACTATAATATGGAATTCAACTGAGAATTGATCTCGCAAACGTAAAACTGAATAATACATAGGTGTTCTAAAGGTTATAAATTTGATATCTGGACTGGTAAATTGGACATGTTTGGCAAAGAGTGGGAGAGAGAGCTAGTTATTTGCTGGGAACGATCACTAATTTTTTTTTTCTGCATTTGTAACTAGAAGTAATTGTGATGTAGTTCACATTTAAAAAAGTGTAACTAAGAAAAAAGCAAGAAGAATAGTAAGCTCATTATGTCTGACATGGTTCACATTATCAAAGTCTTCTTAACATGTTTTTGCATAAAATTATTCCTCCCATTCAATTATATACAATGTATAGCGATCCAGTTTTTTATTATTGATAATTTCTGCGTCTCTTGTGCAGATAAGAAAAGAGTAATATTATAAAGAAAATATTTAAATGAAAATATTTCTGTGTCCCGATGGCATAAGCCCTTTTTTTTCTTTCATTTATGTTTGTGTCTAATTTTTTTTGAAGTGTCACTAGCATTTAATGAATATTCAGAGTTACTGACTGACCTTTTTTTTCTGGTAGAAAATTGAGGAAGCTGCTGAGAAAGGAGAACTTACCGAACTTGTTTTAATGGTCATATGGAATCGCCTTGATCTTGCCCGGCGTGATGTAAGTTGGTATTTTAGCATCTGAATTATGCTAGGTATATATTTCAATTAACTTTTGCACAGTATTTCATTTTGTGATGAAAAAGAAGTAGCGTACATTTCTTACTATTTTGCCATGATCTGATCCTTTGATTGTAAATCTTTCCTCACAAAGTTCTTAAGGTAATCATTTGCATTTTGGAAGATGTTGTGTCCCCAATTATCTGATTTTTGGAAGCATGATCTACACAGTGGTGTGTTTGTGAAGTAGAGCTATAATAATATTTAATTACAGAATAAAATTTGGAGGGGACACCATTTTTTATACGTTAAAATAATATACAAACAGTTTGAAAATACTTGAAATTTTAGTTGGATTAGATTCATTACTAAAAGTTATTCTTTCTTTTTAGTTTTGTTAGAGTAAATATCAACTTCTTCATCATCACAAAAGAAAATTAGAAGTATGCAAGCAGTGAGGGACTCTTTTAACTAGTGGAAGTTTGTGACTTGAAAAGTAGCAGCTACTGACAGCCACTGCATTGTTTTTAAATTGGAAGTTGGAACTTCTATCATCTCACAATTTTTTGAAATGAAATTTGAGAAAATTATAATTTTTATAGAAATTTCTATATTGTCTTAAAAATATGATTGGTAAAAGTATTAGCTTGTTATCCGACCGAAGGAAGAAAATATTTTGAAGTATCAAATAATCCTTGAATTTATTAGGTTAAAGAATGGATAAATATAATCTAATTGGTGTTTTGGGCCAACAGATTTTAGGCCAACTATTAATTTTCCTCAGATTTGCAGTGTTCGTTCAAGCTGTCAATTCATCACAGCCCTCCTTTGTCATATGGCAGGCTTCGTACCAATATGGGATTATGACATTATTAAGCCAAGTAATTTATCATCTTCATAGACATATTAAGTAAAGCGTGACTCCCACCAAAAAATAAATAATTAAAGTGTGATTGATTATGGTTCCTTTTTGTACTGTTCTCTCATGGATATCATTATGATAATTTGAAAGGGATTGTCAGAAGTAAATCTTAGAATTGGTGCAGTGTCTATTGCTAAAAGAAGTTTGACTAATTTTTTTATCCTCCGACTCTTGGTATCTTATTGTATACATTATTTTATCACCTCTTTACAGGATGAAAAGGATGCTATAAGAAGTCTGGATCTGTTATACAGAAGGGTTGAGGTAATAACTGCTCCTTTTTTTATTGGTATCATTACTATATAACTGCTCTTTTAATTAGGAGTTTCAGCATTCATTTCAGTTAAAAGCTTACCTCAGCCCCCCTCCACACGCGCGCGCGCGCACAAACAAACAAACAAACAAACAAAAAAAGAATGGGAAACATTTATTGCAAGCAGTGATTTAGAAGTATGATAAAAAAAACTGGCTCATTAAGATGGCTTTGGAGGTTTGGAACTTCGGATCCTAATTTTATGAATAACTTGCTGGATAATTCTACTTTCATGGTGACAAACTTAGTTCCTTGATGTTAACTGGAATTTGATGTCTTAAGAACCTAAAAAGAAAAAAAAAGAAGAAAACTTCTTAATTTTTCCAGGTGTTGGGCCAAAGTATAAAAGTGCTTATGGCAGAACCAGAAAATCTGCTGTTAAAGAGAAGCAAGAATTAGTGCTTCTCCTGGGAAGCAAAAACATATGCAAATAAAATTTAATTTTAGAAAAAAACATGTTTCTTTTTAGTAGCATTCTTCATACAATAATTTTTAGGAGCAGAATTAAAAAGTAATAACAATAATAATTCACAGCAAGGACAGATGGATACTGAATAAAACCTCCCCAAGTTTACTTTGATGATCGCATTTCCCTATGGTTAGAGAAGTTTTGCATTAAATGACTGGTTCAAATCTTCCTTTTAGTTCTTGCAGTGGCCATACTGCCGTCAAGTACACCACCATTAAGAAATGATTTTTTGCTTTTCATAGGACCTGGTGGTATCAATTATTCTATTAACTTATTTGTTTTGTTAAACAATCTTTGTTGGTTTTAATGCAAAAACATATTATTTTGGTTTGAATTCCATTTTTTAAAGACCTTGGATATTCTATACCTTTTTTTCGCATATCTGTACTTGCACAAACTTTCATATTGCCTTCTATTTAGAACAATTTTAGCATTTTACATCCTGCACAGTTTAACTCAATCTTAATACTCTTTGTTCCTTTTGAGATTTTTATTTTCTATTCCTGATTGTAGACTGAGATCTTGAAACGAGAGGCTACCCCTGCGATGAGATTGCTCAATGATCTTTTGATTTTGTATGATGGCTTTAATTTTGAAGAGTGGCTGAAGAATTGTAAAAAGATCATGATTGATACATTTCCACGGGAGGATCCATTTAGTGTTCTTCTTCCACCTGGGTTTGAGTCATTTGACGTAGATAAGGTACTGCACATGTAGATTGCAGGGCTTTCATTCTAGTCAGATGATGTCTATTAATTCCTGCAAGATTCAGTCCCCCCCAGTTCAATATAACTATATGGTTGAGGTGGATTCTAAGGTGAAATTGGTGATATCGAGAGCACTTAAGAGTTGTAATTAAATTTACATTTAAATAACCAAATGTTAGTCTACTTTAACATGTTCTAAATAGTTAGTTTATTCAATTTATAAATGGTTAAAAGAAAGAACAACACAATAATTATTGAAATTAACCATTGATATTAACTGGTTAAACTTGATTCAAGTTCATTTGTTCATATGTTGATATTAAGTGGTTAAACTTGAAGTTTGTTTATACATTTATAAATAGGTTTCGTTAAAAGTGAGATGGCGCAGATGCCATCTAAACTACAAAATTATGTGTTAGACACCACCTCTGTTTGAATCTCCTATTATTAAATTTTTGTTTTCAATCTTGTATGTTATCAGCATCAAGGGCCATTGCGACCACCACTTGAAGATGATGATACTCTTTTGAGGGTGGACTTTGTAAGGGAGGTGGATGAATTGCTGCAAGAGGTTCGTTCTGAACAGAGTGAAGTACAGAATGAACCAGGATTTGATCCTGAATCTGTTGGAAATAGATTGAAACGACAGGAGAAACAACAAACAATACGCCAAGTGGAAGCTCTGCTAGATTTAGCCATTGGTTTGAAATTGTAACTATTTGGTCCGAGCCAGCTATTTGATTCACATCAGTTGAGTTATTTGACAATTAATAGTTTTGAATATAAATTACTATGCACTGCGTTTGCAATCCAATTAGCTTCATGGTATGGTATATTTGTCTCTTCTAAAGAACATACAAATGTAGGCATGGCAATTTTGGGTGATCCTGTATTTTTAGAGGTACAGTTGTATTAGAAGTTGAGTTTTGTTTTTCCTTTCCATCCATCTGAATGAACATTTCGGGTGATCCTGTATTTTTAGAAGTAAAAGTGTGTTAGAAATATAGTTTTGTTTTTCCTTTTCATCCATCTTAATGTACATTTGGGTGATCCTGTATTTTTAAATCAATATAAACATTAATGGCACCATGAATTCTCTATTGCTTAGTTAAGTTCAAAAGATTTGAAGTTAGATTTTGAACTATATAGAACATATAATTATAATAAATCACCTGTGGTGCTCTTCCAGTAAAGGCTATGGTTTGATGATAAACATGACTGGTAGTATCGAGCTAAAATTGCTACGTCGATGCTTGAGTTCTATCCCAGGTCAGAAGAAAGTGGGGGATGAGTCATTCATGCAAGAGTATGTTAATAAAGTGAATTTTTGTAAATAAACATAGGAGCGACTTGGTCTTGGTTGATGTAAAAACTGAATGGATAATATTTTAAGGGAGCGTTTGGTAGAGAATAAATTTTTTTTTTTTTATCAGGAAAATATAATTACTAAGAATATGGTGGGAAAACGAGTTAGGTAGAAAAGTTAAAAAAAAAGTTGTTTGGTTGGGCGAAATATTACTGAAAAAATTGAGTTAAATATACTAAGTCTGTGTTTGGTCAAAAATAAAATATTGATGAAAAAATAGGTTAAAATTACAAAATAAGCTTTACAATATTTGAATGAGAGCTACTGTTGCCTAATGTTGCCTAATAAGTTCAACAGCGTAGTCACGTTTTGGTAGTCTTGGAAATGGCTTGCACAGATGTAGTCAAAAGAGGGTAGTATAGTCATGTTTTTCATTCACATTTTCTCATTTACCTGGTTTTTTGTAAATACCACATTGCAAGTCGTAAGCTTCAACAGTATTTTTCTTTCCTTTTTGCATGCGATTCTGAAAGGCTGGGGAAGTGAGTTTGTTGGGTAAAATTTTATATTTCTTCTACCAAACAAAGGCAACATGGAATGTCAAACTCAGATGGATGGGGTTCTAAACAAAAAACCCGAATCAAACACTACCTTAGGGCATCTTTGATGCACTCTTGTATAAGTCCTAATAGTATAAGGCCTAATTGTATAAGATCTAATTAAATTTTAATACTATCTAGTGTTTGACATAATATTATAAAAGATAATATCATTCAGTGTTTGATAATGCATTGTTTGATATTAGATAGGATAATAAATATTTTTGATAAAAATATCCTTTGATAAATAATTTATATAATTCTTCCAAATATATCATAAGATATTAATTTTTGTAAAAATCTATTGATCAGCGTGTCTAAAAAGTATATTGATTTTTATACTAATAAAAATATGCAATATTTTAAAATTAATATGTTGAAAAACTAATTTTTATTTTAATATATTAATATTAAAATAATATATTAATTCTTGAGAATTGTATTGGTCAGTGATGTTAATACATTAATCTCTTACCAGGTCTAATTCCATCCCCTTAGCCTGATTAAGTTATATATTATTTGAATGTATTAAAGGACTCTGTTATATAAGTTTATACTATACGATGGTTATAACAAACAACTAAAAATGCCATAACATATAACTTATACTATCAAACTTTATACATCACACCAAAGAAACCCTTATAATACAAAATCTTTCTGACTTGGATGTATGCATGAAGTTTGCTCAATTTAAATAGATATTGTTTTGTTTACAAATAAAAAATAGATATTATTTTGTAAATAATTAATGTAAAATGTAACATCCTCTACAACTGACTAACATAGAGGATATCACATTAATTCTTAAATCTTATTTTAAATAAGAGAACTAGAATTATAATGAAATTCTAACGCAACGGATATGAAATAAGGCATATGACAAAATATCCTTAAAAATATAATTATACAGAAATCAAGTTCATTATTACATCAGAAATACATCAAAATCTAAACGGAAAAGAAATATTTTTATTTTCTATTAATTACTCCATTGAGCTCCGTATAGTCTTCAAAGTCTTTAACCATAGTGTTTTATCTTACTCCAAAGCTTCACATACTGGCCTGTTTACTCTGGAAAGGTTAGCATAAAAACAAACACACGTGAGATCAATCTCAGTAATATTGGGGTTTTCAAAGTATAATCAATCTAGCCATTTTAGTGAAAAATATCATTCTCATAGAATAAAATTTATAATAAGAAAATAATATCATAAACAACAAATATAAGCCCAGACCTTTGTGGGTTCTTCATTCAGCCATACCCAAACCTTTGTTGGTTCTACCCAAACTTTGTGAGTTTCTGTATACAAACATATATAAGAACGTGTAATCTTTAACTGAAATGAAGAAAGAGTGTTCCAAATACAAGGCATGGCGCGAAAGAAAGGGTATGACTCTCACTTTAGTTTGTTGGTACTGGTTCTGTGGCACAAGCGTTTAGGTAATATCTTTAAACAGAGAATTCAGAGGCTTGTGACTGATGGAATTCTTGAACCCCTTGATCTGGATGATTTTGAGGTGTGCATTGAATGCATAAAGGGGAAACAGACTAACATAAGGAAAATAGGTTCCAACAGAGCTTCAGACGTCTTAGAATTGATTCATACGGATATTTGTGAACCATTTCCTATAGCCTCTTGGAATGGTCAACAATACTTTATCACATTCATAGACGACTATTCAAGATTTGGATACCTATATTTGATTAGAGAGAAGTCACAATCATTGGATGTGTTCAAAGAATTTAAAGATGAAATTGAACTTCAGTTAGGCAAGAAAATTAAGGCCATTAGATCTGATCGTGGTGGTGAATACTATGGTAGATCTGATGGATCAGGTGAACAACGTCCAGGGCCCTTTGCGATCTTCCTAAAGGAGTGTGGAATCGTCCCGCAATACACAATGCCAGGTAAACCTTGCATGAATGGTGTTGTGGAAAGGCGAAACCGGACTCTTAAAGACATGGTGAGGAGTATGCTTAGTCATTCTTCATTGCCAGAATCACTTTGGGGAGAAGCACTAAAGACTGCAGTTTATATCCTTAATAGGGTTCCCAGTAAAGCAGTGACAAAAACCCCTTATGAGCTATGGAATGGAAAGAAACCTAGCATAAGGCATTTACACATTTGGGGTTGTCCAGCAAAAGCAAGGCCTTATAGGCCAAATGAAAGAAAGTTGGACTCAAGAACAATCAGCTGTTATTTTGTTGGATATGTTGATCGCTCTCGGGGCTTTAAGTTTTATAATCCCACTACAGGATCTTTTTTTGGAGACGGGAAATGCCAGATTCCTTGAGGATGTTGAGTTTGGGGGGGAAGATAAAATAAGGAATGTTGTCTTTGATGAGGAAGAAAATAATATTTCTCTTCCTAATATTGTCATCATTCAAGATGCAATTACGGAACAAGCAATTGATGATTAGGTCCCTGTTCATGACATTATTATGGAACATGCTTTGGTCCCTGACATTGCTTTGGGTCAAGACAATAATGAACCACCCCCTATGCCACCTATAGAACAAACTCAACAAACTCAAGAAGTGCCATTAAGGAGATCCACTAGAGAAAGGAGAAATGCAATTCCGGATGATTATATTGTGTTTCTTCAAGAGCATGAAAATATTTTAAGCTTGAAGGAAGATGATCCAATCAACTTCCAACAAGTCTTACAAAGCTCTAATGCTCATAAATGGATTGATGCCATGAAAGATGAGATGCAATCTATGAAAGACAACGACGTTTGGGATCTTATTGAGTTGCCTAAAGGTGCGAAACCCATTGGTTGTAAATGGATATTTAAAACCAAAAGGGATTCCAATGGCAACATCGAAAGATATAAGGCACGTCTAGTTGCTAGAGGTTTCACTCAGAAAGAAGGCATAGACTATAAAGAGACTTTCTCTCCGGTTTCTACGAAGGACTCTTTTAGGACAATAATGGCACTTGTGGCTCATTTGGATTTGGAGCTACATCAGATGGACGTAAAGACAGAGTTTTTCAATGGTAACATTGATGAGACAATTTATATGGTGCGACCAGATAACTTTGTATTGGGAGATTCGAAGTCTATGGTTTGCAAATTGAAAAAGTCCATCTATGGCCTTAAGCAAGCTTCTCGTCAATGGTACCACAAATTCCATCAGGTTATTATCTCCTATGGCTTTGAGGTGGATTTAGTGGAAGATTGTGTGTATCATAAGTTCAGTGGGAGTAAATTCGTATTCCTGATTTTATATGTTGATGATATCTTACTTGCCAGTAGCGATGTAGGCTTATTGCATGAAACCAAGAAACATCTCATTAAAATTTTTGAGATGAAGGACCTTGGTGATGCATCTTTTGTCTTAGGAATACAGATACTTCGAGATCGCGCTCAAGGTATCCTACGATTATCACAAAAGGCCTACATTGAAAAGATTTTGGATAGATTTGGCATGAAGGATTGTACGTCAGGAGATACGCCCATATCTAGGGGAGACAAGTTTAGTTTTGCCCAATGCCCTAAAGGTAAGCTTGAGATGATAGAAATGACAAAGGTACCTTATGCTTCGGCAGTAGGAAGCCTTATGTATGCCCAGGTTTGTACTCGCCCTAATATAGCATTTATAGTGGGAGTGTTAGGAAGATACTTGAGCAATCCAGGAATGGATCATTGGAAAGCAGCCAAGAGGGTTATGCTGTATTTAAAGAGAACAAAAGATTATATGCTTACATATCGGAGGTCAGATCAATTAGAGATCGTCGGATATACTGACTCTGATTTTGCTGGATGCCAAAATAGTAAAAGATCTATGTCAAGTTTTGTCTACATGTTGGCTGGAGGAGCTATTTCTTGGAAGAGTGTTAAACAGACACTCGTAGCTTCCTCTACTATGGCCGCTGAATTTGTAGCTTGTTTTGAGGCATCCAACCATGGGGTATGGCTGCGAAACTGTGTCACAGGACTGAATATAGTAAGTGGTGTTGAAAGGCCACTGAAGATTTATTGTGACAACAGGTCAGCAGTGTTGTACTCCAACAACAACAGAAGCTCTTCAAAATCGAAGCACATCGATATAAAGTTTCTGGTTGTTAAAGAAAGAGTTCAGAGTGGTCAGATTTCCATAGAACACATAGGGACGAACTCCATGCTTGCGGATCCGCTTACTAAAGGCTTAGTGCCTAAGGTCTTTCACGAGCATATTGCTCATATGGGTGTTGTTTTGTTCGATGACACTACGGTTTAGTGGGAGTTCTTTATGTTATTGTTCTATGAAGATTAAATTTTCTGCAGAATAAAGAATTCAATGTTATTTTCCCCCTGAATGTATTAAATTTTGTGCTTGTGTTTCTGCTTTGTGTATGCAGAAAATTTAGGATTGATCTCATACAGATTAAAGTAGTACCAGTTGGAAATAGGCATGGTAAGATCACATTGCATGTAATTTCCATGCCACTTATCCATACTTGATCTATGTCATTGAATATATTGGTGCGATGACCATGGAAGGTTTAGTTACGCTTGAAAGTGACAAAAGCCGTCATGATCTCATATTGATATAGGAGGTGGACCAGATTGTATCTAAGGAGGAATCTAAAGAAAAATAGCATACAGTTGCGCACTAAAGAAATATGATATAATTATCTCAAGTTAATATGTGGCCCAAGTGGAGATTGTTAGAAAATTATATTTTCTAATAATTATTGTGGGTCACATATTATATTAATAATTATATTGTGCTATTTATATATATTGGGTAAATTAAAGTGATCAGGTAAATATTCTCAAATAGATTCCTAAGTGAGTATGGGCTAAATGAGTGGATACCGGTGTTGGGCCAACTAGGTATAATGGGAGCTTATTGACCCAACAATAAAGATAAAAATACTATAAAGGGTTATGGTCCCCAATACGTCAAATAACAACCCTAGTTTCTCTTCTCCATCAAGAGAGAGACGACACACTAAGGAATAAGGTTTTAGGGTGATTTGACTGAGGAAGACTACAAACCCCAAGAGACAAGATCAAAGTTATTCCGCTGCAATGGAGACAGGTATTCCTCCACCTTTATGTTGTTCTTATTTTTCTTTATGATTTGGTATGATGGATCTTGGCTTGTGGGTGATAGTTATCACCATAAAGTTTTGAGGAATTAAAAAAAAATTCCAACAATAAAAAGGTTTGGTTAAAAGTGAGATGGTGCAGATGCCATCTAAACTACAAAATTATATGTTAGACACCACCTCTGTTTGAATCTCCTAATATTAAATTTTTGTTTTCAATCTTGTATGGTATCAGGATCAAGGGTGGACTTTGTAAGGGAGGTGCATGAATTGTTGCAAGAGGTTTGTTCTGAACAGAGTGAAGTAATGGTGATTTGATCCTGTATCTGTTGGAAATAGATTGAAACAACAGGAGAAACAACCAGCAATACACCAAGTGGAAGCTCTGCTAGATTTAGCCATTGATTTGAAATTGTAACTATTTGATCTCAGCCAGCCTTTTGATTCACATCGGTTGAGTTATCTGATAGTTAATAGTTTTGAATAGGAATTAGTATGCACTGCATTTGCAATCCAATTAGCTTCATGGTATGGTATATTTGTCCCTTCTAAAGGACATAAAAATTTAGTACCAACAAAAGAAGAAAAAAAGGGACATACAGATATAGGCATGGCAATTTTGGGCGATCCTATATTTTTAGAGGTGCAGGTGTGTTAGATGTTGAGTTTTGTTTTTCCTTTTCATCCATCTGAATGAACAATTTGGGTGATCATATATTTTTAGAGGTAGAAGTACTTTTAGAAATTGAGTGTTATTTTTCCTTTTCATCCATCTGAATAGGGGTGGTAAATGAACCAGGGACTTTTCAGGGACTTTTGGCTCGACTCGTGAAGTATTGAGCTTACATGTTTAATATTAGTTGTTGGAACCAGGTTTGGACTTGTATAAAAGCTCATTTAATAAAAAATTCTTAGACTCTAATTCATAAGCTCGGCCTTAGAGTCTCTCAGGCTGGCATAATATATTAATTTTTATTTTTATTTTATATTTTTTATATCACTTGTCATAGCTCTCTCTTCAATCCATTTTATTGGTTAAACAAACTTTTTGGATGATTTTGTTTTATATTATGTTGTTTGGATATACATTGAATTTATGAATATTTATGAAATTACTAGTACTGTTGATTGTATATTCTGTTTGGATAAATTTTTGTTATATTATTATTTTTAAACAGGCTAAACCAGACTTTTATTTTTTGTAAATAAGTCAGGCCACATGCCGATAATTATATTCATAACAAGTAACATGCTTGGTCAAACTGACACATTTAGACACAGACTTAACTTTTTAAGCCCAACGCTTGGGTTGACTCAATCCGTTGACATCTCTACATCTGAATGTACATTTTGGGTGATCCTGTATTTTTAAACCAATCTAACCATTAATGGCACCCTGAATTTTCTATTGCTTAGCTAAGTTCAAAAGATTTGAAGTTAAATTTTGAACAATATAGAACATATAATTTTAATAAATCACCTGTACTTTCCACATGTGGTTCTTTTTCAAGAAGTCGAGCATGAAGTATAGTGTTAAAGTTCTGTGTTTTCTATTTTGATATTTATTTATTTTTAAAAGGGAGTATTGTATCATTATTTTTTTTAAAATCATGAACTAAATAATAAAAGTTATATATAGACTAAAAAACAAAAGTGATTAACAGAGATTTGTAAATTTAATAACTCTGGAATTTTTGCTATTCAATCTGTAGTATTTAACATAATTTTTTTTTTTGTATATTAATATAACTCTAGACGACAATGCCATTAGTCCTTTCAAAATAACTCAAGACTTTGACAGCTAACCTAATTTGTACGACCTTTTTAAAGATAAAACAGAATTGTGGACCATAAATATTTATTTTCTTCAACAACTTAGATATTTAGCCAGGCTTCGACAAGTAATAATTTGTTCATTGTTTTTCATTTTCATCATCAACTCATAAAGGGAGAAAGATTAAAGGATGAAGCTCAATAGAACTTTTTCTATAAATCCGTTAATAGTACACGAGGGTAATTCTGACACAAAAATCATAATAGAAATTATGCTACTAAGGCAATTTTCTTCAAAGAAAAATGAATTAATATTATGACTAATCCTTTGGAATTACTTTTTTATTTGATTTACTTCCACCTTCCTAATTAAATAGAATAACTTATAATTCATTAACTTAATTACCTATCCTCTTATAAAATTAAATGAGTAGAAAATATTTTTTATTTTTTGGGGTGAAAGAGTATAAAATATTTAAACTTTCAGACATGCACTAGTCAATTAGTAGCTAGATCATTTTCATTGTTAAAGTCCTCTCCAGGTGTATCAAAATCCAAAATAATCAAAAGAAATTACATGGACTTGTATTGAATATGGCTCTACTTACCAGTGATAATCCAAGAAGGAAACTGTTACGCGACATAGCCATTCGTGGTTATATAAATCATCGTGTAACCAAAGAAATTATATGGACTTGTGTTGAATATGGCTCTACTTTCCATTTAATCTAGGACTCATGTTCTGCTAATACAGATAAAGTTAACTATAATCTTGCTCGTAGAGGTCTTATAATGTTTTGATCCTCAGATTTTTTTGTAATCTCTTTTAGCAACCTAAAATTTTCTAAATCTATTTATATTATTATGTGGGAAATCTACTTTTTATGTTGATGCAAAAAAATAAAATAAATAAATCTTCTTCTACCATCTATTATAATTATTTACTTCAAGTAATATATAATTATAATATTAAAAATATTTTTTTCTCTTTCTTCAGAAATTGTCGATTGATATGGAGAGAAAGAAAAAACAATTTTTATATCATAAAATTATATACTCCTCAAAATACATAATTATAATCGCCAGTGGAAGAAGATTTTTCTTTCAACAAGAGAAAAAAGAGACTCTTTTATAATTTAGTGCTTGTAATGACTGCGACAGAAAAAATATAGTAACAAAATTATTGTACTTAACCTTAATGAAAGTAAATTGTTGAACTTAACCCTTACATGAAAGTGAATCAAAGTAAATTTTATCTCCACTCATCTTTCCTCCTTTTTTTTTTCTTTTTTTTTTTTTGATCACCTTATTCCTTTCAGATCATTGTATCAGTATTTCCTTAACTTTCCTCCTCCTTCTTCTTCTTCATCTTCTTTTTATTATCAACTTTATTCCTTTCAAATCATTGTATTTCCCTAACTTAACTTCATAAAATGGGTGAAATATATGTAATAACTTCTGAACTTGTCATCCATCTTTATTTGAAGGAAACCTCCAATAACTTCTGAAATGATGAATTAACATGGTCCAGGTGAGCCATTACGGAAAAGAGACGAAAGAGAAGTCCAAATAACAAAAAGTGAAGAGACAAAACATAAAATCAATGTGAAATCAACCTTCCTGGTTGATAACTAATAATACTTCAATTTCAAGGTACTTGAATAACTATTTAACATAAAGATTTTTTAATTTTTTTTGCATAATATATCAACAAATTAACATAATATAATAAGCTTGCTGGCCGGATTGCATATGCATAGGAAATTAGTCCCACATAAAAATCATCATAACAACAATTATACTTTCTCTTTGCTTTCTTCTTCATCCATGGTATCACAAAATTCTTGGCCTTTAGTCTCTGGCAAAAATACACCAAGCATCCCACCGCACCCTATTGCCAACCCAAAAACCCCATAGCATATAAACTTGTTATTTCTACCAGCTGCCACCAACATAGGACAAAATACACCACCCAACGCCACCGCTTGCCTCACCAATGATAATGCAGAGTTGCGTACAGAAGTAGGGAACAACTCAGTGCTGTATATTAACACAATATCACAAGCAGTGCATGCACTGAAGAAGGATATCAACTCAAACACAATTTGCAGCCTTGTCAGTATCTTCCCTTCCATGATTGCTAAAATACTTGACATCCCACTTAAGATCGTGAGAATAAAGAGCACACTTCTCCTATTGAACTTGTCTAGAAGAATATAGGCAAGCAAAGTAGATGGAATCTCTGACAAAGCATTAAATGTGACACTCAAGTAAAGGTTGAATGACAAGTTTCCAAGGGCTAATGGCATTCCATAATAGACCAATCCAATGCCTAAACCCATGGCCATAAATGCATATAGCCTTCTTGATGACCATTTCTTTTGCATCAAAATCTTGAGCGCAGAGTAAAAATCAATGTTCCAAACTTCTTTCTCGAGGGACATGCCAGAGATAGCCAAATTCAAATTACTTTCAGTGATTGATGTAATACTTTTCAATACTTTTAGAGCTTCTTCTTTCCTTCCCCTTGTGAGAAGCCATCTTGGAGACTCGGGAACAAGTAAATGAACTAATACACAGTATAAAATTGCTGGAAGGGAAGTCCATAGGTATAGGTTTCTCCATGAAGAATCTCTGTTTGCATAAGCCATTGCTGGCACGGTCAAAAACCCTGTACTGAAAAAGAAGAAACCAAGAACACCAACACGCCCCCTCCACCTTTTTGCAACAAGCTCAGAAACTAGGACAAGTGCTGAGGTTCCAATGGATGAACGGCCAAATCCAGAGAAGAATTTGAGCACCGAATACATCCAAACATTGATTGAGAAGGTGGCAATGAAAGAAGAAAGAGACATTAAGAGGCATGAGAAGAAGACCATGTTCTTGCGACCAAGTGAAGTGTCAGCAAGAGTGGCCAAAACAAGCCCACCAATTAAGCACCCCATGAAAAACATGGAAGCTGGAAGGCCTGTGATGAAAGAGTTCTCACACTCCAATCCCCATTCTGAGATCATGGAGGTTTTTGTGGGTCCATCCCAAGCCCATGAACCCTTGGGAAGGCTACACATGTTGGAAGTGTTGCATGAATCACCACCTTGTTCAGTGCAGTGCCATGATGGCTGTTCATCAGTGAAGATAGTTATGAATGTTTGCTGACCATCGAAGAACCAAGAAAAGGAGACAAGAACAGCTTGGAGGAATTGGGTCCAGTTGAGTTCTCCTAAGCACTCTTCAATGGTGGAGCTAATAGAGGAATGGTGTTCCTCATCTTGAGGTGGAACCACTGGATCGGATGAGTTAGACTTCAAGAGAAGCTGGGTTGTATCAACCATTTCCAAACTCTATGCTTTATTCAAAGTTCTCTCACAGTGTCAATCACCAACCTAAGCATTATTCATATAGCTAAAAAGTTAAAGGGTATTATTGGAAAGTATTACATAAAATATTCTCTCTTTTGACATATACATCCACTGTACAGAAGGTCTCTTATCTCTTTTGACATATACATCCACTGTACAGAAGGTCTCTCCAACGTGTTAAGACGCGTTCCGTGTCAGTTACTGTTGAAAAATCTTTGAATGGACGTTGTTTACTATAAACACTCCACTCCTACGTGTTAAGACGCGTTCCGTGTCAGTTACCGTTGAAAAATCTTTGAATGGACGTTGTTTACTATAAACACTCCACTCAGCCTTTTATCACTCTGTATAAATTGGCTGTAGCCTGGATAACTATTAGTCACAACAGACATTGAAGATTGCCCTCGTAAAATATCTTAATTACAATACTATGCGCTCATTTATATCGATTAATGTCATGTATATGGACTGAAAAATCTTAAATAAATTTAATTTTTTTTTAAAAAATAATTTTATTTAATATAAACATTGTTTATTAAAATAAATAAATAAATTATTATTATTCTATTAATATTTTTATTTTACTTATAGAAATATGAATATATAAAAGTAAATTGTAAAAGATATATAATTAGTACTTTAGATTCAGCAGATAAATTCAAATAAAATAATTTTTAAAATAACAGATATTTTGAAAAGTCAAACTAGAACACGATCTGATGTTATTTTATTTATACCTTAATCAATATCAGGTGTATTAAAGTACGTTGAATTTAATAAACTAATCTAAAAAGCTTGAAAAAAATTATGTGATTTCAATCAATAATATTTAGAGTTCAAATATAATTGTACACGATTTTGATAGGCGTAGTTACACTCCAAATCAAATTTCTAATTTTTATTAAAATAATATTAAATATTTCATTTTATAATCCTCAATAATATGAGGTGCTTGAAACGTGCACATAGTGGGAATGAATTAATAATTTAATAATCCTCAACAGTTTGGCACGAATGGCCCAATTCGTCACACTTCGACAATCCAACTTTGGATAGTGAATGCATTGATGTGCTAAATACTGCTCTATTCTTTATTAGTTTATTTGAACGGTAAGGGTGGGTTCAGTTGAGATATACAGACAGAGACACGGTACATATCGCCGCCATTTAGAGGGACAACGATCGTAGGCAAAAATTTTCTGGATTTCCACGTTAAGAAAAAAATGCCAAAATATCACATCATCAAATTTGTTGCACTGTGCAATAAGATTATGTGGCATCATCTCAGTTTAACGCCACATAATCTAGCTATCGTGTGCAATGATATTACGTGACAGGCCTAATTTGCTGCATTATACAGTGTTTTATGTGGTGCTAGGAATAATTTGACATGTAGATAGAGAGGACCAATAAAAAAAATTAATATTTATTGGACATTAAATTGTCTTTATCATTTTTTCATAGATACTACATTTGGACACTCCATCATCTTTACTGTGTATTATATTTTCCAAAAAGAAAAAGAAAAATAAATCAGCATTTATTGGATATTAAATTATCTTTATCGTTTTTTCATGAATACTCCATCCGGACACTCCTTTGTTTTATTGTGTATTATATTTTTCAAAAAATAAAATAAAAATTTTTTATCGTGTTTCCATGGACACTCCATCATTTTTATGGTGTATTATATTTTTCAAAAAGAAAACAAAAAATAAATCAACATTTATTGTACATTAATTCATTTTTTATCGTTTTTCCATGGACACTTCGTCGTTTTTATTGTATATTATATTTAAAAAAAATAATAAATCAGCATTTAAACTGGACATTAATTTGTCTTTATCATTTTTTCATGACACTCAATCGTCTTTATTGTTTATTATATGTTTAAAAAAATAAAAATCAGCATTTATTCTTCATCTTAATTCACGTGTCAATTTGTTACTGGCGCCACATAATAATCTCGCTCCACAGTGCAGCGAGATTACGTGGCCTTAAACTTGCTGACATGGTGTCACGTAGGGTTGGCAAAACGGACCAACCCGGCTCAACCCGACCCAACCAGCGTTTAACCCGAAAAAAACGAGTCGGGTTAGGGTTGGCTCGAAAAATAAACGAGCCAGAAAACTCAACCCAACCCGACCCGAGTCAGGTTAGGGTTGGCTCGAAAAAATAGAAAAAAAAAATTCATTGATGCTATAACTTCTAAATTTTTTTCCTAAATTATTAATTCATTTAATACAAAGACATTATACAGATAAACCATAGAAAACTTCTTTTACATTTGGACTTAGACTTATTGGCAATTGGCACCATATTCACATTGTCACACATACTATAAAAAAGGTCCTTAATGCACGATTTTGGACTTATTGGAAGCTGCAGGGTATTTTTCATTTGGGTCTTTGGAATTGAAATGTTAGGTTTTAGCTTTCCACTTTACCTTCATTAATTTTTATACATTTATATTAAACAAAAAAAAATCATAACCCACGAGCCAACCCGTTGGTTGGCTCGGTTTTTTTCGAGCTGAAACGAGTCGGGATGACTCGAGTTACTAACTTATTTTCCCTAACCCAACCTGGCTCATTTTAAACGGGTTACGAGCCAACCCAATCATTTTTGCCAAGCCTATTGTCACGTAATCTCGCTGCACAGTGCAACGAGTTTGGTGACGTGACATTTTGAAAAAATTTCTCCTCGCGTGGCAATCCAGTAAATTTGTTAACAAGATGGAAAATGGTCGTTGGCCCCTGCATCTAGACGCTGTCTGACACATCACCCTGAATAGTTGGGAATATAGTAGTTAAAATCTCGATTTATTACTATAATTTTATGTTTTTACGATGTTTTTTATTAAAATAATTTTACCAATATTTCAAACACTTTTACATTATTATACGGTTTTTTTATGTTACAATTTTATGTTTTACAATTTTTTTTTAATTTTACGTAAAATCTCGATTTTAACTACGACACACTGCATGCATAGAGACGTGTGTAGTCTGTACCTACTCCCGTTAATTCACATCATATGAGCTTGCTGTGTCGATTTCAGTACTAAAAACGAAAATACTTCCCCACACCACACGTATCAAGTTTGTAATTTATTGGTGCTTTTTTTTTTGTGTTGTCAAATTTAAAATGATAATATTTTTTTATCTTAATCTTAAGTTAATGTTATTAATTTATGGGAAGAAAACTTCTAAAGTTATTTTAGAAAAATTAAAATGAAGTACTTTTGTGATTTTTTATTAAAAAATTAAAATGATAAAAATTATTATAAATATATAATAAATAAAATTACAAACACACCATGATTTTTATTTTAAAACAACGTCATTTTAGTGAATATTGAACAAATTTTTCTAAAATAACTTTAGAAAAAGTGAACCCTTAATTTATAGACATACAAACTTGATCGGATAAGATTGAATCAATCATTTGCACTTTTATGATAGGGTTTAGTAGAGAAATTAGACTGTGACGAAATATATTATATGAATTATGATTTGTGTTTAATATATTAAAAAAATAAAACTGAACATAAAATTGAAAAAATAATATATGAAAAAGTAAAATCATGAAAAAGGTAAATAGAATAAATTGTTTCATTTCATGAATGTTAATAAATTTGAATCAGTTATTGACCTGATCAAAGTATTGGGTGAATAAATTATTGATTCAACTTATATATTAAGTTATATAATAAATATATTAAAAGATGTACTTTAAGCAATAATTGAATATTAACCTAATGGTAAATGCTACACTTCATTCACCTGAACTGAGTTCAATCCCAACAGTTTCCGGAAGCAGTGTTCATCAACCGAAGCCTCTGTAGCCTCTCATCGTTTAATGGAGATAATGCAATTTGTTTTTATATGAACCTAGTGTATTACCCGTGCGTTGCAGGAGAAAAAAAATTCAGTTTATTTGTCTCATAAAAATTAACGCAACTCATAAAAGTATATTGCTGCACTTTATCTTGTCATATAGTCATTCAAAAATTATAAAATTTGACTCAGCTTCTTTCAGTATTTCTCATAGATGAACTTTTATTTAGAAAGATCAAATTTAAAAAATAATAATACATAAATATTTTTTTGCAAAGATTTGTGTCGTTAGTATTTGGAATTTTTCAAAATCGTATTTACAAAAATTAAAATCAGAATTATGAATTTAATTATAAAAGAAGAAGGGCGAAAATTTAATTTAATTATAAAAGAATGTTGGCGGGCTGGTCCTCCGGACCAAGTCCAGTTTGCAACCTCTGATTGTCAGCATTATATACCAACATGTAATACGTTTTTATATTTATCCACATAAAAAGTTCTTATAGTTGCATCTAAGTTTTTATATTTTGTCTGGGAGATGGACATTCATTTATTACAATCAGATTTATAAAATAATAATAAATAATATTTTTTTTGCAAGGATTTGTGTCCTTAGTATTTTGAATTTTACAAATTTGTATTTACAAAACATGAAATCAGATTTAGGAATTTAATTATAAAAGAAGAAGTATGAAATTTTAATTTAATTATAAAAATAAGTTGGTGGGTCGGCCCTCTGGGCCGAGCCCAGTTTGCCACCTCTAACTATCAGCATGTAATATGTTTTTATATTTATCCACAACAAAATATTCTTATAGTTGCATTTAGGTTTTTATATTTTATCTCAAAGATGGACTTTCATTTATTACAACAGATTTACAAAATAATAATAAATACATTTTTTTTGCAACGATTTGTGTCGTTAGCATTTGAAATTTTACAAATTTGTATTTAAAAAAATTAAAATCGGATTTAGAAATTTAATTATAGAAAAAGAAGGATGAAATTTTAATTTAATTATAAAAATGTGTTAGTGGGCCGGCCCTCAGGGCCGAGGCCCAGTTTGCCACATCTAATTATCAACATGTGATAGAATTTTATATTTATCCACACAAAAAAGTTCTTATAGTCGCA